CCCAAGTGGACAATGGCTTTGTCAGATGAGATGAAATATACAGGTCACAACTGGGTTTGAATGTTTATATGCAGTGCTGCACTTATTCTTAATGTTTGTTTGTTTATGATTAACATGTTTCGGATGTTCCTTCACAGTTGAAGATAGTTTACTTCCTAGTCCAAACCTCCCACAGGACGACAGGGGATGGGAGCAGGCAGGGTTTGAACCTGACACTATCGATAAGTCTGAATGACAGTCCGGCGCGCAAACCGCACGACCAGGCAGCCATCCGATTTCCACTACCTACAGGTTGCGATATCGCAGGACAGTGTTCAGGCCTTCTACTAGGATTGGTCTCAGTTAAACCCCTTTCCTGTTTCAGACAAGATCTTGGATGGGAAAATTTTCTGTCCAGGAGTTGTCTTTCTTTTAAAGATATAATAAACAGAACCTTGAACCAAGCTCATTTTTCCACCACAAATTTACCCAAAAATTCAATAAATGAGTCTTTTATTTATTGATTGATTTTAAATACTAAGCGTTAATCTAGGGAATTGAAAACTATTCTTATTTTCAGCAGCACAAAGTAGTCGATAACTATTTCAATTGAAATTGACTATTGATAACAGCAGCACAAAGTATTTCAGTTACTCGAATACTAAATGTAATTTGATGTAGGTCCTAGCTGGGGCTGCGTAGAAAGGAAATTCTGCTTGCCTCATGAATCTTTGGGCTCAATGGCCTCAAAGACAACCTTTATAAATGTAATTTGATATGCAGTATGTCCATCATTGAATAAGAAGTAAGGAAGAAAGAAAAAGATTGCACATGTTTTTAAACTTCCCAATTGGATGGTATTTAATTTACAAGATTTATAGCAGCACTAAGTAGTTGAAAACTATTTCAATTACTTGAATACTAAATATAATGTGATATCATTTTTGATTTTATTAATTCTTGCTTCCTTGTTTTAAAGGACAGCAATGTACAGAGTGGCAGCTACATCAAGCACACTAGGTTTAATAAGCCAAACTATTATTGTCATTAAAAATTTGCAGTTTTATTTTTTCTTAATCCTATAATTTTCTTGAGCCTTTTTTTTTTATATATTGGTAGACCTAAAATTCTGCTTAGTATTTTATTATTTAAAAAAATATAATGCATCTTTATACTGATAACTTATTGTGATTATTGTTAATGACATTTTAGTGACATTTTATGGATACAGTATTTTACATAATTTTGTAAATCTTTTGAGGAATATTTACATTTGTTGCTGGGATCTCCATTTTTATACACAACTTTTCAGCGTAAATCAATTATTATAAATGACAATAAGAACTAGAGACATCCATTATGTAAAATGACGTATTTATATTTGTAAGTTGTTTTCTTATTATTTTATTATAATAATAGCTGTTTGGAATAAAGATTACTAATGTGGACTAACATATATTATATATGTTTTTTATATTTATTTATATTTAATTGCCGATAATATTTTTTTAAAAATTATATTTATGGACTATTTAAATAAATGTTTTAAATTAAAAAAACTCATTATAAAGAATGAAAGTTAAAATTTTTTTTTTTTTAGAAATGCCAAGAATGCTTTTCAACTATATTCTTAAGCATCTTTTATGGATATGCATAGGATTTAATAATCTTCTCTTTTGAAGGATGTCTATAATTTATAAGATAAGATGTTTTTTTTGTTTTTTTATTTTTTTTATTGACTTATTTTTTTTTTTATTTTATATTTTTTCTAAGGCTCTTTATTTTAGTCAGAATGTCCTAAAATTTAGTAAAAAAATCTTAAAGTAACTATAATTAATCTTCCTAGAATAACCACCCAATGGACCCTCATTCACCAATCGTAAACAAACAACATTAAGTCACGTGATCTTATTGATAAAACAACGGGCAAAACTGTCACATGTCAACCATCATGAATTAAACATGAGATCGTAAATTATATAGAAGAGATAGAGCGCCACGTGTCTAAATGTTGTTTGTTTATGGTTGGTGAATGAGGGTCCATTGGGTGGATGAAATGTTTGATGTAATTGACCAACTTAAAAGATGTTTTATATTTCTTAATTGATTTACTAGTTCTCATCAGGCAATGAGAATCATAAAAATGTATTTCTGAATGAATTTGTTTTTAGGTAATTTTCTGTCCAGGAGTTGTTTTTCTTTTAAAGATAAAATGAACAGAACCTTGAGCCTAGCTCATTTTTCCAACACCAATTTACCCAAAAATTCAATAGATGAGTCTTGTATTTATTTATTGTTTTTAAGTCAAAGAAGGTATCTGCTGAAGCATTGCCATTCCGCCTCCCTTAGTTTTTATATCCTGCCAGTAACTAATTCTCTCCTAGTCGTTACATTACCTACACAGATGTATTACTAATGCAGACATTTTGTATTTCTGGTCAATATTTTCCATGATATATTTATTTCTATGTTCTTGATGCTCCTCAATGCGTGACGTCATGTTTGCTGGTTAGTTATAACTAGTCTTTCATCAGTATATTGTGAAAGGCATAAGAATGTAACATCGATGATTGAATTAATGAAACCAGGAGATTTTTGAACAATAATATAAGCTTGTTGTATATTGATACACTACTAGATATATATATCTATATATATATAGATCTTCTATGTAATACTTTTTGTTTTCCTTGCAATGTGATAATTGCTATCAATAGTTAGAATATTGCTGGCTAGCTTCACTATGATTACAAGTCATATTTATTAACATGAATGTATTATGCAAAAGAGAGCATTAAGATTTATAACTTATGAATCTTTAAATTTGAGATTAGTAAATTTAGAAACACTACAGGACAGGAGACTAAAAAATAAGGTAGCAACAGTACAGAAAGGACTGAACCATAAGTTACAAATACAAAAAACCCAACTTTATTAAATACTTAGAAAAAAACACAAAGATAAAGGCCATTTCTTAATCCATAGGCTAGGATAAACTAGTATGATTGCTCCTTTTTTCCTGCTGCCATGAAAGAATGGAATGGATTGCCTGAATCAGCCAGGGAAACTAATGACTTAGAGTTTAGGCCTGTAAATAACATGCATGATTAGATTAACACATGATGGTTGTATGTAATTAATAAGATGTGTGTGTGCATGAAGAATGCGGTTGTCACCATACATTATGATCTGTCCATAAGTCAGTGCACAATTTGGGGTTGCATGATTAGATTAACACATGGATATGCTTTCTCTTTTGAAGGATGTCTGTAATTTATAAGATGTGTGTGTGTGTGTGTGTGAAGAACGTGGTTGACACCTTACATTATGATCTGTCCATAAGTCACAGTTTGAGTGACTATAAGATGCCATCGTTGATAGTAACTGTTTTATCCAACCAAATTACTGCTAATTGTATATAAACAGTTGTGTAGATTGATACATTAAAGAAATGTTAAAGATTTTGTTAATTGCTTATTGATTTTTTTTTATTGCAATAGCTGAGAGATCCATATTTTCTGTTTTTAACATTCCTGAGAATTGATTTATTTTTTGTATACATTCTTTATTTCACTCTGCTGCACATTGCGTCCAAAAATTATTGACGACATAAGCATTATTATTTCCCCTGAATCTGTATGGTTAATGGATGTCACTCCAACAGTCCTGTCTGTTTTTCTTGTTAGAAGTTATACACTAGCTATGCCAAGTTTACATTTTAGTAATAGTAAGCAACAAGTTCAGCTATACAAAATCAACTTGTGAACAGTGACCTTCCTTTTCCAAATTCTTTAACCCTTAAAATGCATGTGGTATATTAGCCTCTAAACATCAGAATTGTAATTCCATTTGGTATGCACTCACTGTAAAACAGCTCAGCACTTTAAGGGTTAATTGAACTTACTATATAAGATGCCAAGTTTATACAAGCTTTTAACTGTGCTCACAATAATTTTTTTTAAAAGCACATGGTTTTGTCAAAACTACCTTCTAACTAATAGTTAATTAAAATGTTTTTTTTTAGTCTAATTTGTATGTTTTTGATGTCAGAAATTAAAGCTTATATTGTTCTTTGCATGTAGTAATAATTCTATGATTGTACTGTATATAAGGAATGCTTTCAAATGGTATGTTGTAGGTAGAATATAAACTCTTTAAATGATCAAATGTTTTTAATAGATTTTTTTTTATTCTGAGCTTCCTTTTTTTTTTTTTTTTTTTTTTTTTTTTTAAGATTTTAAATAAAATTCATTTTTAATAAAATGTTATAATGAAAAAATCAATCTATAGCTTTGTTTAAGTAATTATTTTTAAACCAGTGATCTATAAAACTATGGAAGTGAATCTGAGGTCTTATAAAACACTGGAACTTCTGAAGTCAATTAAATGCCCCTTCCTCACCTAGCGATTCATGGAGCAGGTAAAGTTTTAAGTTATCTGCATCCTGCAACAAACAAAGAGCTAGAGTGAGTTGTAATTCTTAAAGCCTATGTGGAAAGCACAGTGCTCTAACCCCAAATCTTGATTCTTTTCTTAGGTCACTGATTGGACATGCAGTTTATTAAAACTTTATACCTCAATAGTTATTGCTAGCTCTGTTACACGCTGAGAATTGAACTAAACATATATTGCTCTGCACCTGACATTCAGTTCACTCTATTCCAACTTATTGTTTAAGTACAGACTTTGTAGTCATCAAAATTTAGTTACCAAGTTACCACTGAGAACTCAAGACTGTAGGCCTACAACATAACTAAGCAGCTGTGATCTCATGGGAGTTGCGGTGGCTTGAGTGGTTAAGTGCTTGGCTTCTGAACCCGGGGTCCTGGGTTTAAATCACGGTGAAGACTGGGATTTTGAATTTCAAGTTTATTGTGCTGGCCACATGACACCCTGCTAGTTAACTGTGGTCTGAATAAACAGATGATCCTATAGATCTAAGGTCAGAAAGGGGAACTTGTGATCTCATGTCATTTTTTTCTGTAAATTATTGATTTTTAAATAACTTACAAATACCAATCAAAATCAAAATAACATTTTACTGTGATTCGTACATGGTAAACTTTATGTAATGTAAAATTGTACACTTAAAAAATAGTCACTATCTGTACAACAGTCATGACAATACCAAATATACAATGTAACATTCATTGGGAGAAAATCATTGGACACAACCTTTATTCTGGACCCCTCCAAGTGCAATCAGTAAATTAAGTGGCATTTGAAAATGTTATGACACAGTGAGAACAAAAAAAAATTGTAGCAATAACATTTAGTCAAAAGTTGTCGAGTCTTTTTTTTACTTTTAGTAATGTGAAGAACAAAAAATATTAATAATGCTGATTACTTTGTTGTTTTGCTGGAAATGTAATTTTCAAGCAAGAACTTTTTGTTAATTACACTCAAAGAGCTCTCCTTTATTAGTGATCATATTTGGCTGCTTCTGAACAAGATAGCTGGAGGTCACTCATAAAGGCCGTGGGATACATATTTGAGACTAAAAGAAAATCTGCTGCCGAGGACAAACGCAGATGGCAAAATGAAAATCTTAATCTACCACTGGTGGACAATGGTTATGTTTGCCCTGGATGTGGCAAAATATGTAGGTCACAGCTGGGGCTGCATAGCCAGGGGAAATACTGCATTCCTCTTTAATCTTCGGACTCGAAGACAAGCCTTATTATAATTATTTTTTATATTTTTTAAAAATTTACAAACACTCACTATATTTTTTTTTTAAACTTGTGAGACTATGGGGAATAAGCAGTGTGGCCTTCAAACTGAGGGCACTGGGTCAAATCCCAGCAGAGACAGAATATTTGAGCTTCAGATGTAACTCAAGCTGAGTTGTGTTTGCTGAGCATCTAAAGATCAGCAGAGAAACCTTCTCTTAGATTCCCTTTCTCCAATTGTGGGATTGCATTGAGCATGCCACAATAGCACAGAGAAGAATAAATAGCAACTAAACAGCTTTTTATTTGATACTGTTGTGTTGTTTTTATACAATTAGGGAAACATAATGAATGAAAGATTATTTTCATTTACTGCCACTAAAACAATGCCCAACACAATTACTACTCATTGCAGACGTACAGAATGGAACATAATCTAGAATACTTTAAATAATCAACTGAAATGGTATAAAATATTTCATTTTTACTGAACCGCATAATAATAAGGATCCAACATATCCAACAACACTCTACTGGATAAAGACATAAACAATAGGATAGCCAAGGCAATGGCCACCATGTCACGGCTGCAGAAAAGAGTCTGGGACAACATATTGCTGACTAACAGTACTAAAGCCCTAGTCTACCGGACCTGTGTGTTGAGCAGCTTGCTGTACGGAAGTGAAACATGGTCAACCTACTCATGGCAGGAAAAAAAAGCTGAATGTTTTCTACCTCCGATGCCTAAGGCGGATCTTTAAAATAAGGTGGCAAGATAAGATAACCAATGAGGAAGTGCTACAAAGAGCCGGGTGCCAGGACATCTGCTCTGTTATCAGCAGCAGATGCCTTGGCTGGCTTGGCCACGTTCGTAGAATGCCAGAAGGTCGACTTCCACAGGACATCCTGTATGGCGATCTAATAGAAGGCAGGAGAGCCGCTGGTCACCCACTATTACGTTATACGGATGTATGCAAACGGGACTTGAAGCTCTTCAAAATCGACACTGGCAACTGGGAAGAGGTAGCACTGGACAGATCCTCATGGAGAGAGAGCATAAAGGAAGGGTCAAAGATTGCAGATGTCATACACAACAGAAGCAGAAAGAAGGGTGAAAATGCAACGGCACCTGGTGATTATATATGCCCAACCTGCGATCGCAGCTGTGTATCAAGGATTGGCCTCTTTAGTCACACAAGAAGTTGCAAAGGGAAAAGATCGTCTCTCGAGACGTAAAATGCCACAGATAATAAGGATATACTCCACTTTAATAGTTTTAAAATTCTTGACAATACATTCAATTCAATTCAAAGTAAACAAATTAGTACAAGTGAGGTTTAATGAACATTTTTATAACAGTTTAGATTAATTGCCCATCAAGTTTAATAATGCGACCAGTTTTAAAAGTTTTTTTTTAAGTTGACTGAAACGCAAGATCTAATTGATTTTAAAATAGAAACTTTGGGAATTAACTCTTTCTCACCTTAATTATTTTCAATGTACAGACAGAATAATCCATTTTGCTCATATGTATTTCACTAGCCTGTCCTGATTCAACTTTAATCATTTTTTGTTTGTTATCAGAAAATATTATATTTGGCATAGGGTTAAAGAAGAATGCCAGCTATTTGTAGATAAAACAAATAGATGTTTATCAATAAAAGTTTATTTTGGATAATTAAATTTAAAAATTAAAACTGTGGAAACGTCTTTTGGAACTAGATCTAGGCAATATTTTATGACCCAAATTGAGCTAAAAGTATTTTTATAAGATAGTTATTCATATTTTCACAAAACATATATAAAACATTTCCGTTTATTATCTTGAGGTCACTATGCCATGTGAACACCCTATAAATATATATATATATAAATTGAGCCTTTTTAAGCCACCACTCTTTAAAATCATTGTTTTTGGTAAAAACACATTGAAAATGAAAAAAAAAAAACAGTATTTTTTTTAAAAAAGGCAATCTATTTAAAGATTTAGTCATAAGCAATTTAAAACATTTTGGGAAGAAAGAAGACCAAACAACTGACTTTTTAAGCATCAACGATAATAAAATATCGTCAATTAAGCTGCAGAAAGGAACAAAATCAACGATGGTATTGTCAATTAGGAAAGAAAGAGTTAACCAGCTCATTTCACAAACTTGAACCTTAAAATTAGCAAGAGATTGCTGTGGAAAGTATTAATTAATTAAAGGAAATTAATTAATTAGAGGAAAGTTCTTACTTAATAGCTGATATTACAGAATTGGCTTTGTTTTCAAGTCTAACTTCAATAATCAATGGAGGAACTCAAATGGCTCAATTTCTCCCTCTCACAATTTCAAGGGAGCAGACTAAACGTCTGGAGCATTTTATATTCTATTTCTAACTTGTTCTGGCAACATTTTAGTTGAAAACATTATTTCTTGAACAGTTATTTTCTTTGCGTTGACATATCTAGGTGTGGACATATTACAACTGCTCTAATTTTTTTCCGCCTATAATTTTCAATACTTTGTAATTTAGTGTACTAAGGTGAATAGATGTTCATGTTCAATAAGCATTGATTAAGTATTTCCTCTTACATAAGAAATACAAGCAGTGAATTTGTCCTGTTCTTGTTTTTTAACAAACAATATAAAGTATCTGCAATGGAAAAAAGAAATGACTGATGGCTGATTTACAAATCTCAAAATTATATCCTGTTCCTGATGAAGGACAAGAAACTGGTGAGAGTAAATGAGAACTCTGTGCAATACCACTGTATCAGTCATATTGCCCCTTCCCAATCAAATGTGAGGGCTCTAATAATGTCTAATCATTTGCTGATATGTCTGGATACAAAATAAATAGTGAGGCCAATAAGTTAAGTCAAATCGCAAACCATTGCACAGCTATTATACAAACAAATAAACTACAGATGTCAACATGACACAACCATAGTCACATGCAACAAAATTACAATAAAACTAAAATCATAAATAAGGATACAAATGTACAAATGACCTGGACAAGGTCAAAGCATATGAGACAGTGCAGTTAGTACTATTTTGATTATAGATAAATATTGCCAATTTGTAACACAAATAAATCCACCAAGAAATACTATAAACACATTTAGAATAAAATGATAAATTTATGTTTTCAATATGAACTCTTTAATCTTAAAACAGATCTTTCATAATATACCTAATGATACAGCTCTAAACCAAAATACAGACTACAATCCCAAAGTCTACAGTAAAAACTAAGGGCTAAACATGTTACCAAGAGAGAATTGAAACTAGAACCAAGTTGAGTAATCATCAGAATAGCAGTTATAATAATGCACTTATAAGCAAGACTCTATACCAAATAGTGTTCAATGATTTTCTTTAAGACTGTAAAGAATCAAAGACAAGACCCTGAAGTATAAAGCTTTGCAATAAGGACCAGCAACTATTCCAGGGAATCTGTTTTCAATTGCATTGTTTTAAATAATTAAAATATTTTTAGTTATTTCCCTCGTTGGTCAACAACTATTGGAACCAAAAAAAATAAAAATAGAACTGTTGATACATAAAGTTTTTAAATCTGCTGATAAGATATTTCTTTTCAAGGCATTCAAAGTTAACACTGAGACAGCCTGAGTAGCAATGCACATCTATAACATGGAAGAATCATCTGTGTCTGTTGTCCAAAAATATTACTAGTGTCCGCAGGGTAAACATCAGATTAACACAATAGCAAATATGTAGAACATAAGACGAACACAACTGTAATAGGCTCTATTTTTCTATATACAACTGTAATATGCTCCAACAACATTCATCCCACCACTTATCATATTGAAGAGAATGGCTACAGATTTGGCTGATGTTACTTTGCCTGGCATACAAAGAATTCAGAAGTCAATGAGATTGCTAGAATAATCATGTGATCATGCCTCCTCACACAACCAACAAAAGCCATTACATAAGATGTAAGCATACCATGCAGACGCTGTGCTCTTTTATGTGTGAAGAAAATATTAGAGAGAATATGATTTGTGGCACTCCTTGAGACCAGTGGGCTCATCTAGACTGTGCAGGAGTGGAGCATGATTGGTTTCTATGTGAAATTTGTCAGTCTAAATTAATGACTAGACTTTTCTGTTGTATATTTATGTTCTTATTATTAAAAATAAATTTTAATTATCAGTAACTAATCAGTCTTTTTTCACTTCAATGCCTGCATCCATATTATAAACAAGGTTTCCAATTTGGAACATTTAAAATTTTCTTAAGCATTTTTATATCATAGCAAGCCAGTATTGTGTAAAACAAAAATTGTACCTCTAGATACACAGAAAAAGAATCAGGTTGCAAGAAAAGAAACTTTTTTCAATGAAAGTTTAAGAAAGTGGTCCATACTGATATCCAAATGGATTAGAGTATGATAACTTTTCAATGTGACTGCAGCCAGCTTTCACCCAAATTTCAAAAAAAATTATGCCTATAACAAGCTGTTCCAACATGACCAACAGAACCAAACACAACAGAATGAGACAACATATTTTCCGGAAGCTTAAAATAAGGACTAACCAAATTTGCCCTTGTG